GGGCCCACACCTACCTCTACTTCTTGATGAGTTGCTGTCATTTTCAGATCGTTTTGTTTATTTATTTATTATTTTTCCTTTCCACCCTCCACACGTCCAAATCTGTCCGGGGGTCCCCCATGGACGAGTAGACTGTCACAATATCCTTTCATGCTTTGCAACTGCCAGTAATCCAACACTAATGCTGCTTGAGACTTAGCACAAGACATTCATGCTGTTTGCTGGTTGATTTCTAGGCTTAGCTCGACTGATGCTAGTTTGTTGTGAGAAGAAAACACTGTTAACTGACTGATAAGCCATAGCTGAAACCAATAAGCGAACGAGTTGATAGGATCATTTATTCCTGCTAATGCACCACCAAACAAACTGACAATTTCATGAATAGAGTACTGAAACAGTAGGGTAGCTACAGTACCAGTATTACTAGTACCTATTAATTAGGACCCAGCTAATTAAGCAATGTTCATCAATTGATCTAGAGTGCTAGCATGGGAATTTTGTCGGAAACACCTTTTTTTTTTGTTGCGGAAATAATTTAGCCTCAGTAGAAACGGTATAAAACATCCTGGATCGAAATGGGTTCCAGATTTTTTTATAAAAAAAGAGAGTTCTGGATTGGCAGATAATTGCAGTACAATAAAGCAGATCATTAATACTAGTAGTAATAAAGATGAATTAATTTTAATAGTGGTAGTAGTCCATCGACGGAGCCTCTCCGGGGGAAAAAAATGCCAAAAAACAGAGGCTTTTAATCTCTACTCTCTTCCTCAGCGATCACGACTAGAACGACAAGAACCAAAACACAACAAACAAAAAAGAACTCGTCGAAGAATTAATCCAGAAGGATTAAGGCCACACTAATCAAACAAAAGCTCCTCGCTTCCTCCTCCTCAAGGCGAGAACGGGATCAACGAGGCCGCGGTGGCAGGCATTGCCGTCAAAGGTGGGCGTCGGCGACCGGCGACCGGCGACGGTGCTGAGGCTGACACCGGTCAGTCCTGGAAGCCGGTCTTCTCCCAGATGGCGTTGCGGACGCGGCGGAGGTCGCGGCCCTTGAGCGTGCGACCCACGCCCTCGCGCATGGAGAAGGACGCTGCCGCGCGCTCCCGGACCTGCACCACCTCGTGGGGCGGCACCCAGCGCCGGGCCCCGATTCCGCCGCAGCCCACGACGTCGTCGGTGAACGCGTCCGCGAGGTCGTCGTGCGCCGCCCACCAGGCCGCGCGCGCCCCAGCGCAGCTCCCGGCGTACTCGGCGCCCAGGATCTTGGACCAGTCCGGGATGTTGACGGGCACCGACGCCGGCCCTGGAGCCGGAGCGCCACTACCCGCGCTACGCGGCTTCTGCTTGGACGGCGCGGACACCGGCGGCGACCGCGCGTACGGGTCGGCCGCGGAGGACAGGAACGACGACGACGAAGACGGCGAGGACGACGCCGGGCAGCCGCCGCCGCCGCCGCCCCAGAGGACGTCGGCCTCGTCTAGCTCCACGCCATGGTCAGCGCCCCCCACAGGGTGCACCGCCGGCGCGAACAGCCGGTGCGACGCGACCATGGAGAGGCTGCTCCGGCCGGCCATCCCCAACCGCCCTCCGGTAGAGAGAAGAGAGAAACGGCTGCCTGTGACTGTCTGGACTAACACGAACCACCGCGCGCGGGTGAGGGAGGGGGTAACCTGTGAAGAGTGAAGTGGTTCGCGTCTGGCAACGGGTGGAGGCGCGGGCTTTATAGCGGTGGGCTGGTTAGGGAGGTGATGAAGAGAAACTGAGGAGGGGAGATGTGGATAAGGTTGATCGGCGCCGCGCCGTGACGGAAGTGGGCGGGGCGGTGAGCGTAGCGTCAGGGTACGGGCGGGAGCAGCAAAAGACGGCCGTATGGGCAAGGCGTATTGCTGCGCACTGTGCTTGCGTACTGCGTTCTCGCTCAAGACGACACTGTCGGCTGATAAATCCGACGTGCCGCACCAAGGAGTAGGCTTTTTTTGTCGAGCATGTGTATGTCAGTGGAGCGCGTATTAAGATCGACAAGTTTGGATTTGGATAGAGTTAGCAGTACCATAGTCCACAGCTAAAACAAACACAATTTTTTACGAGTGAGGTAGGAACGGATCTTTTTTAAAGAGGTATTGCAAATTCATTTGCGAAAGCATATACAATAATTTCCAAAATCCATGATGTAGTATTTCTTATGTTGATAAGTTTGATTGAACTTTTTTTCAGCGGCGAATCTAGGATTTTGTTTAAGGGTATACCGCCCAAAATTTTCATATACAATTTCGTAAATCCATTTCAGCAATTCGGTAATAATTATAAAATTGACAATATGATTCGGTATATATGGATTAAATAACATAATAAGGTTTAAATTCATGGATTAAGTTTAAACCATCCCCTAAGTATAGTATAAATAGTTCAAAAGTCATACCGATAATTGAAATAAGGCATAAAAGAGAACCAAAGACTTACAATACTATTCTTGTGACTATTTTATTCGACGCTTTCGAAGGAACATAAATGTCATAATTATATCATATTCATCAAATTCAAAGAAAATATCCCGCTCAATGAAGGTGACTAGACAACAATCATTAAAAAGACTATCTCCCATCTTATTTTTTAACTTTGTTTTCACAATAACCATTACAGAAAATACCCTTTCAACACTTGCCATTGCCACAGGTAGAGGTAATACCAATTTGAGGAGCTCATAAACCATATCATACACTTTGTGTCTCTTTGTTTCAACAAGCTTAACTGAGAGATCAATAATATTGTCTAGACCTTTAAAGCTATCGTCCTGTCTCATGTCATATGTAGTTGCAATTCAAGTTTAAACGATTAGAAATAACAGCAGCTGCCGCTGCCTTCTTCTTTGCTTCATGCTTTTGAAAAAGAGATGCGATGTTCCCATTTCTCTTCATAACTGCATAAATATTACGAAGAACACAGTGCCAAATAATTAAATAAATTGCGCTTGCACGATTGAACACTCACATGCAATCATGGATCACTCACATGATACGAGTACTGAACAAAAGATCAATCTTTATCGACTCTAATGTTGGGACAAACCCTCGACCTTGCTGTGTGATGGATGATTTTATGATTTTAGCGCTAAGTAATTAGCAATTAAAGTACATATGATTTTTTTACAAAAAGCCAAAACAAGGATTGAATCTCACCTGAACGGCTAAACAATTCTGATCACAAATGCAGGTGCGGTCGTAGGGCAGGGCGAAGGCTGAAGTGCCGAACGGCGAACGGGACGAGGTCACGAGGACGACTGGACAATGACGGGCCGCGGGCAACAGCCGACAACGGTGGACGACGTTGTAAGGAAAATTGACCCCAGACCCATTTATTTTGGATTTTAGTGCTTAATGACCAACACAACCAAATTAGACTAATAAATTTGCAAGTAATTTTTTTGTTGTTCAATAGGGTGCAAGACGTGACTTGGACGAAGGTGATATGATGACCTGACGATCAACACCATAAGCAAGACCCTAGAAGCACAAGAGAAGACCAAGAAACCAAGCAAAATCCAAGCACGAAGATAGGAACCGAGTCGGACGCAAGATCGTGAAGAAACGAATGAAGAAGGGGCTTGGCAGAGACGATCGGACGCTGCCACGAAGGCACCAAACGCGTCTGATCGTTGCCCGTGCAACCACAGTGATAGACGCGATGACCGGACGCTGAGCGAAGGTGTGACGGGATGCACAAGTGACACTGTTCATCGTCACGGCGACGTTCTCAGCGTAACCAGATGCGACGGTAGGACGACCGGACGCACCAAGAAGTAGCGTCCGATCATATCCAGAAAGGTTCCAAAGCGGCGCCAGCACGACCGAATACGTCCGATCGAGTGAGACCGGACTCGGTCTAGAGTCCGATCAAACACGCGTGTTCCAACGGTCGACAGGACTGGACGCGTCCGATCAGGACGTGATCAGTGTCTGGTCACTAGCAGAAAGTTGGGTCTCGGGTCCAACGACTAGTTCTCGCTTGTGGGGCTATAAATATGCCTCCAACCGGCCATTTGAGAGTGGGAGAGTGTAACACCCTCGGTGTTACATTGCATTGTTTTGCTAAGCATCGCATGAGCATCATGGTTATGTGCATATATGTATAACATGAATTGTAAAGCAATGTTCGGTCCTTGAAACATTTATATGAAACGAGAAAGCAAGTGTTATGTTTCGTGTCACATAACGTTGTTTATTATCCTCATCGAATTCTTGAAACAAAAAGGCTATAGAACATTTTGTGAACGGCGATAAAACATGTGCGGTCGAGGGCAAGGATAGTTAGCGAAAGTGCATCCAATGAGGTCAAAATGGGGATTCGACGTGAAATCTTTCGGTGACGTCGCTTTAGCGTGAGGTTTACAAACGGGTCGACGAAGCCACCTTTGGCGATAGTTGTAGAGCGATCGGCTTAGGATGTGGTATGATATCTTAGCTCCGATAGACAGCCCAACGTACCCTCTTGTGCATCGAATAGTTGGTTTGGCTTTTGGAGCATAGTGTACAAGTTTTCAAACTGCTTTAAAAAGCGTGCACGCACACAAGGCAGCATTGCCCCGGGCGCGTCACCACCCTGCTTCGTTTCGCTAGCGCCAAGACCGCCACGCTTGGTCGCATCCGCCGCCACGCTGCTGCGTCCCACGCCGCCACGCTGTGTTTCACGCCGCGTTCTGGCGGCGCGTGCCAAGGTCGCCGCCATTCGCTGCCGCTTCGCCACCGTTGGTTGGCTCGCTAGCACGCCAAAGCGCACGCCACGTCTTCGGGCCGCCGTGAGGGTGACGCGCATGTGGCTTGGCGCTCATCGCTTTGGCCGCCGCCGCCACACATTGGCGCGTCTTGGGTTGCCTCGCCCGTACCCTCTTGCGCTGCTGCGTTCGGCCGCCGACCGAGCTCTGCCGCGCCATGCCACGTCCTGCGCTGTCTTGGCCGGAGGCGCACGGGTCCCGCGCTACACGCCGCCAGTGGCCACGCCCTTCACTGCTCCGTTGTCTCTTGGCCGCTCGCGTGAAGGACGACAGCCTGCTCCCCATCACCTCGGTGTCACATTTCGCTGTGCCCCTTTGTCTGGCGCTGCCGGCCGCTGCGGCCGCGCCACGCCTACGGCTTGCGTACCATGGCCGCGCGGACGATCGCTGAGCACATCCTTGTCCCACATCGTGTTGTGTGTTGGCTTGTTGCGTTGATGCCCGTGAGATGGATCGAGCCAAGCCACGCCGGACCTCCCCTACCTCATTGCCGCCATGACCGGCGGGGCCGTCCTTCAAATTCGTCGTGGTAGCAGTCCCTGGTTACAAATTTATCATGTCCTCGACTCCGCTAAGTATTCCATAGCCCTACCGACCCCACATCGCCGCCTGTTGCTCTGTACCGTGCTTCAATTTTGTAATGCCGCGTCGTCGGGTCCATAAGACCAGGATGCCCAGCGCCGTTGGCTAACCACGCGACCAAAGCATCCCGGTCCAATTCCTTGCTTTACTAGCCTCTCCGCCAGTTGGTCGTCACCATGCTCGCCACAGCCTAAGCCCTACCGCCGTTGAGCAGTCCCTGGCACAGCTGTGCCATCGCCGTGCACCGCCGCACCACATCGCGCGCTCATGGCTAGCTTGGCTCGAGCCATCTCCGGTCGAGTCACCGCGTTGTTCGGTTCCGTGGTGAGTCGCTGGTGCTCATTTGCTACTTGGTTTGCCCCGGCCTTGCTGACGTTCACCAAAACGGCACCGCCGGGGTTTACCGCCATCGTGGTCCGACCTCCCTGCTGCGTCCCAGTTTGCGTTTCCTCCGCCAATCGCTTCGCGTTCGCTCCTAGGTAACTGTCGGCTCTGTTATTGGGGCGGGGAAGGCCTGCTGTGGCCGGCGTGGGTCGCCGGTTCCAGCGTGGCCGCGCCGGTGCGCACGCCTGGCCATAGGGGTGTCGCTGGTGAGATGATAAGAGTTTCCAAGGGTGTAGATGTAAAATTGTAGACTAGCGAAATAGTACCGTAGAGCTTGTAGCAAATACTGAATAGTTTGGGGACGTTTTTGCATGATGCCATCGCGTGCGGGCCTTTCTCCCGTCGCGGACCGTTGGCTGGCTAGGCCGCGTGCGCACGTGGGCCACGCTGCACTGGCGCACGTGACGCGCCGTTGCGGGCCGAGCCACGCGTGTTGGGCCGAAGTGGAGAATTCTGTTTTCTTAATTTCCAGAGAATAGAAATGCTTATTTATTTTAGTTATGAATCCAACTTCGATAAATCGTAGTAAATTGCGTAGTTGCCCAAAAATAGTGAGACTAATTTTGTTAGGTTCACGAAAGTGCCATCAATCTGTTAGTGTAGTTAGTTCACAGTTAGCTGTATGTTGATAGGCTCATAAATTCTAATTAGAAAACTTAGCATTATGTAGATTAATATTTGTAGAAATTCTTGTGGCAAATCGGTAATAGTTTTAGCTTTGAAAGTTTTACAGTAGGTTCACTAGGATATTATGCACTTGCTGTAAATTTTGTAGCCTTAGAATGAGTTGCTAGATAGAGTAGCTATTACCCTTACTTTAGCGTATATAGCGTAAATTAG